ATTTTTATACATGTTTTAAATGATTTAAACTGTATATGTATTTTATATCTACAAAATGTGTTGGGTAAAACATGGGTAAATGAAATAGTTGTTGTGTGACAAAAACAAAATGATGAGAGGTGATATAGACCATGAGATAAGGGTAAGAGGTGAACCATGAGAGAAGCCTTTTACCCAAGTATTGGCCCCGTCATCTAGCAGAGTATGGATGACAACCACAGACTATTCTAGCCAGTCCAGTGGAACACTAGCAGGCTCGCAACCTGTAGGTGTTATTTGAACTATGTATTCACCAGCTGTACTCCAAAAGCCCCATTGGCATGTATTGCGAGTGGATTCTCGGAAACTATACTGTCGATAAACGAGATAAAAACCCATTGACATGTATTGCGAGTGGATTCTCGGAAACGATACTGTCGATAAACGAGATAACCCTGGCAGCTATGGATTTAGTGCCTGTTGAGTAAACCATGGCAACGATGGATTTCGTGCCTATTCCTTAGGATAATCCTTAGGAATAAATGAACGAGAAATAGCTGATTCTTAGGGTAGATCCTTAAGAATAAAGAAGATATTGGGGATGGATAATTGGGTTAATTGTTTGATGTTTAAACATAATAATTATATTATTGTGGGTTGAAAACCCTATGTACTCACCAGGTTTCCCAACCTGACCCACTCAAGCTTATTTGTATCACAGGTGTCGATATTAAGCTACTTTACACTGGGAGATTTAAAATAGAAGTAGACCACTAGTGTAAATGAATGTAAGTTCTGTTTATGCTTATGTTTCTGTATTGACAATGACATCCCAAATGTTTTGAAATGAATAAAAAAAATACATTTCTTTGGAAATGATTTGATAATGTATTTATCACGTTTTTTCTGGGAACAAATTCCGCAACATTTTTATTAAAATGGATACTCTGATTTTTATAAAGCATAAACAAAATCGGTCTTTTCTGGCCGTGAAAATGGGGATTTCACAGTTGGTATCAGAGCATTAGTTTAAGCGGACATGTATTGCGAGTGGATTCTCGGAAACGATACTGTCGATAAACGAGATAACCCTGGCAGCTATGGATTTAGTGTCTGTTGAGTAAACCCTGGCAACGATGGATTTCGTGCGTATTCCTTAGGATAATCCTTAGGAATAAATGAATGAGAAATAGCTGATTCTTAGGGTAGATCCTTAAGAATAAAGAAGATATTGGGGATGGATAATTGGGTTAATTGTTTGATGTTCAAACATAATAATTATATTATTGTGGGTTGAAAACCCTATGTACTCACCAGGTTTCCCAACCTGACCCACTCAAGCTTATTTGTATCACAGGTGTCGATATGAAGCTAATTTACACTGAGAGATTTAAAAGAGATGTATATCACTAGTGTAAATTAATGTAAGTTTTGTTTATGCTTATGTTTCTGTATTGACGATGACATCCCAAATGTTTTGAAATGAATAAAAAAAATACATTTCTTTGGAAATGCTTTGATAATGTATTTTATCACGTTTTTTCTGGGAACAAATTCCGCAACATTTTTATTAAAAGAGATACTCTGATTTTTATAAAGCATAAACAAAATCGGTCTTTTCTGGCCGTGAAAATGGGGATGTCACATGCAACACTTGGGGCACTAGGCTTTCATAAGTCAAGATCAAGCAAGGATTGTTCTTGTTATTACAATATAACAAGTGAGGTAATCTTCTAACCCTAATATATATGTGAATTTCGAATTGTACATACTAGATCTAGGGTTTTGCTTTGGATAATTAATTTGCATGTATAACTTGAGAAAAACCTAGATCCAAAGCATTAGGGTTGCATGTGCACCATAGGAATGTTGTAATGCTCAAAACCTATCAAATCTAACCATTTTTTGGTGTATTTTTCAAAAAAAAAAACCTATTTAAATTGTTTTTTTGCAAAATAACTTTTTTATCCGGAATTGACCGTTCCATAAATAATTTCGGACTCCATATCTGTTGGGTCAGCCCATCAAGTATCCTCCAGAATGCTCATTCCGGAGTAACAATATGTATTCCAGACTTCCATTTGGAAATTCATTTCCTGGAAAATATTCTGAAAAAAATCTGGATCTCGATTTCATCCGGAGTTTGATTTACAAACACATTCCAACTTTATGATTCTGATCTCCAATACGCTCTCCGACATTCCGACACACTCCAATTTTCCAATTCCAATCTTCGATACACATTTCGAACTCTAATTTAAGATATGGAACACGATCACAATGACCTGGTTTTTTTATGGGTAAGTCATTTACTCTTAAACTGTTATTATTTTAGTGTTTAGATTTTTTGTTTATAGAACTTCCACGGAATGCGAAGAACACCTCCGAAATGAACTGACCATGTTCTGGAGTAGCATTTGATGATGACAGTGCATTAAGACCAACCCAAGACTAGTTTATTTGTTTATATAATGTTATTATACATCGAAAACTAGTGTTCCAGAACAAAAAATTTCATTATGGAATACGAAGAACACATCTGACCATGTTCTAGAGTAGCAATTTATGATGACAGTGATTAGGACCAACCTAACACTACTTTAGTTGTTTATATAATGTTATTATACATCAACAACTAGTGTTCCGAAAAAATGCATTCGAGAATGCCCCAGAATGCGAGGAACTGGTCCAAAACACGAAAAACATCTTTGGAATGTCAAGAACATGATCCAGAATGGTCGTCACAGTTTGTTCCGGAGTTGCGTTACTATTACACTGATAAACCAAAGTTTTCTATTATAACAAGTTTTCAATTTGCAGTACAACAAATTTTTGATGCATCCACTACAATGTCTTGTAAAACCAAACTCACTGTGGATATTCTTGCGTCAATCAAAGACAGACCAACATGCGATACTATGTTCCAAAATTCATGTTTTGGGAGGTGGTTAGACATTCCTAAGGTAGATAAGGATCCTTTACTTCTACATTAAGTGTTTTGCCATGAAGTTATCACGGACCCCCGAAGCGAAGTAGAGGAAATGGTTCTTGAGATTGGGGGTTACGAGCTATCTTTCAGGAAGAAAGAATTTTTTTTATTATCATTAGTTTCCTATTTGGAGACTAATTTTGCTACCTTTGTTTTCGGCGCCGCCTTCAGTTCCCGCGTGTTTCCTATGGTCGCGATGAATGTCGTCGTGAAATTAGACGATGTGATGGATGTGTTTAAACATTCTCTTAATGACTTATCGGACGAAGATGTGGTCTGTGTATGTCTTCTATATCTCTTAGAGAAGGGTTTCAATGAGCGGTTGGCTACACAAACTGTTTTAGTGGAGTATTTTCCTTTGGTATCTGACATTGGTGAATTCAACATGTATCATGGCGTTAATTTATAATTACGGATTATAAATTATCATTACTAATATTTTTTTTTTACAAATTTAATTGATAATTTTTTATGTCGTGGATATCCATGAGGGAGGATAATTTGGGATCAGTTGTATTCACAACTATTTACTGTATTCAATAAGGTTGAGAAGCTTATACATACAGTCGAACCAAAAGCTAAACAACCTTAAAAAATGACGTACACCTTAAACGATTTTTACACGCTTTTAAGGTAAGGTACATGTTTTTTTGTGTGATAATATTATAATATATGATTCTTTCAAATATGGTTTCTTGAGAGTTTTCCTATGAGCAGTTTGCTTGGTACCCGACAACCAAATATGATCTCTTGGGCTGTTGCATGGTCGAATTGAGGCATTTACATGTGCTTGAGTGCAACTAGTTTATAACCATCAACGGATTATGATTACTTACATATTTTATAATTTTCTTTTGTATATATAATTTATGTTTATTTATAATTTTATAATTTTGTTAGCATGATAATAGAGTTATACATAAGTTGGAGATGACAGAAACTAAGAGTCGTGTTGAATGGTGGATAATTAGCTCGGTGTAGATTGATCGCCCCAATTACCTAACCTAGAAGTTCACATGGCACCTTCCTTAACACAATCACACAAATACTCCCCTACCCACGAGCCTCGACAAAAGAAGGCACGGATAAATGTTCCATCTCACCCGCCGCCACCACCACCACCACCACCAGCGGCTGCTGAACCATCAACTGATAAGGACCGAATTATTACTGACTTGATAAACGAGGTCTGTGAATGTTGCGAGCAGTTGAGGTCACATGATAAGCGTTTAGTGGAACATGTCGCTACTTTAGCCATGCTTCTAAAACATATTAATAAGACCCCCGAAGACGATGTTGGTACCTTAAAGAGGGTGGATGTACATTGTTATTATTTCACTCCCATACAATTTTTGTTTAACTTTATGGTATACCCGTTATTGAATCATTTATAATTAAATACTATTGAACCGTACATGCACTTATCGTGCAAGATGTTGGTACACAGACTATAATGACTTATGGGAGCATGATTATGGGTTAGGCACACCTGAACAGCCGATCAATCACGACCTTGAGTAGGTGTCTACATGTATTCAATCGTAGGATTGAAAAGAGATTTCGTGGGACGAATATAAAACGCCTGTAGCACCTCTTAGGCGTTCCCCTACGACAAAAAGTTATGTCAATATGATATAAGTCGCCATGGATACAAATGAAGAGGAAATGTGTTACATGACAACAACCATCACCGTTGGATAATCTTTTATAACCTATCGTACACAGTCTATATAAAGAGCGGGATGCTTCACTATTGTTAGCTCACCGTTTTTTGAACGGTATTACGACGATTGAGTTTTGGACCCGCTTATATGCGGATACTCACGCATGCTGGTTCCAATGTGATGTAACTTATATAATTATGTGCTCATTACGTACTACGTTTCTAATAACAATACTTACTTTACTGCAAATTTTTTTGATTGGCAATACATCATGTTGTAGATCTCATTGTTGATATAGCGTAAACAAGTTGATGTTCGGTGGACGGTTGTGCAGTCAACTATCAACACTGATGCATTTGACTGGAGACATGGTTGACATATCCGTTTATCCAGCTTGGGTAGACTGTGATAAGGTATAATTGCGTTTGGATTATATTACCTAAGTAATAGTAATTTATAATATAATATTATTTGATGATTAATTAATTCTAACATTTTGTGTAACTTTACATCCCGATCAATATATCAGCTGCTCATTAGTTCTCATTAGTTTTTGGTTGTTTTGGATTTGAAGACATTCAAAATGACTATATACGATAGTCACTAGAAGAGAGACCATTATTTAGAAGATGGGGATTGGTTTATGGGTATGCGAACCTGCATCCACAAACTGCTAGTGAGTATCAACTACTGGGGTACCGAACCAACTAATGCAATCTCAGTTGAGAGTTTGAACATGACCCTTGAAAAGTCACCAAACATACCACAACAGATTGGCAGTAGAAAAGATTGTAAGGTATTTTTTGTGTTAGTTCGTAAAGATGTTGATCGCCGAAAAATCATATTTTATAGAGGGTAAAAACGGTTTATGGACCATGTCATATTGTAAATGATTGACAAATTTTTTTTTGAGGTACGAGGACAAAATTCATTTGAACATTGTACTATTATTTAAAACAAATTAAGTTTATGAATTTATTTATTATTTTTTTTGTAGATTTTAAGATTTCATGCACTATATTTTATAAAAAAAAATATTACAAAATCACCAAACACATATTATATCTATAAAAAAAATGACTATTTCGGAACGATTATCCGGAATCCTACTCCTGTGTTACGACAAAATGGTTATTTTACAAAAACAAAAGAATTAGATTATTTTTGTTCAAAAACATTTATATGGATTAGTCCCTATAATTTTGGTTATTAATTCAAATGGCATAACTATTTTGATTCCAAATAATTGATTTACACAAACACAAGAGCTGGTTTATTAGCAAGTGTCAAGTTCCCAAGCACAAATTGCCAGCAGCAACAGTATTACATCACCCCGTTGCAATCTCTCTCTCTCTCTCTCTCTAGACAAAAACCTCATTTTCTCTCTCTAAAACCAGCATCTTCAGACTTCAGTCTCTGTTACTAACAAACACTAGACCTATTTTAGACCTTGTGTCTCGAAATCCTTCACTTCGTCCCACATTAAGAGGTTCAAGTGCGTGCCACCTCTCCTGATACAAAACCCTCGTGAACTGGATGTAAAAGATCTGAGATTTAATGATGGAAACGGGTCACCTGCAACTTTGCCTCTAATTCAGGTGAATTTAGTCGTACGTATCCTGTGAAATTTTCCGTTTTCTCAAATTTTAAATGATCATAAAGCAAAAACGAATTCAATTTCTTCACAGATTTACAAACTGGAAGTTTCTTGATTCCTGTGAACTGGGTGGGTGTTGGGAGCTTTTAAGATTGCATTTCTAACTGTTTCTCCAAATGGGGTTTTGTTAATTTCAATGTATAATCTGGAGTTAGCATACAGGTCCTTTTAGGTTTCTTCAATGGGTCTGTACTAATTTAACTCCAGAATCGACTTTTTAAATGTTTGTGAATCAGTTTACTCGATTTGAGTTTAGTCGTATTAGAATGATTCATTTCGAAGGGTTTATACTTGAGGGTTTTCGGGTAGGCATCAGAATGCTAATAAGTTCAACGATTCTGTTATAACGGATTAGATTTGGGGGCATTAATGTGAGGTTTCATGAATTTGATGTAGTGTGATTTTGTTTCCAATTGAGAAAAAAAATGCCAAAATTTCTGATTTCTTGCCTTATTGTCCCTTCCGCAGAATCGGATCATGACCCGAGTTGTTCGTGACCGGATACTTAAGGACGCTAATGGCGATATCTCCGATCATCTCCGCAACCATATCCATTTAACAAATTGTATTCACTTGAAAAACCATATGCACAAAAACAGCCCTATAATCAGCGACAGGTCCCTAATTAGGGACCTCGTCGTTCTTCAAAGGTCACGATCTTTAAAGGATCCCTCCATGAGTCCACCCGCTTTTCAATCTCATTCCGCCGTTGATGCTGGTGGTGGTGGTGGAGGAGGACGCAGGTCTACTGGTTTTTCCGGCAACTTTTCTGGCAACTCCTCCTCAAATCGAAGAAACAAGAAACAAGAATCAAGCGGGGATTCTCCACTTGATGCTGCAAATTTAGCTCGTGATATTTATCCAGGAAGCTCTGATAACAAAAGCAAACAAAAAGGGCGTAAAATCAAACAAGATGATCCTTCAAATGATGTCCCAATCGATAGTGACAACAATGTTGGTTCATCACACAACCGTTTACATGAATCAAGCATCCACAGCCATGGTCAAAATCGGGTCAAACGACGAAGGTTTCGAGGTGGAAGAAGAGTTTCCCGAGCACCCAAAAGTACCGAAATGCCCATGTCCATGCCCAATCCCATTTCCATGTCCACCTCCATGTCCATGGCGTCTAATTTCATACCTCATGGTGGTGACCAAAACCTGACCGGAAATCTGCCCGGAAATATGCCCGGAGTTCCAAAACAAGGTTGTGGAATCCCCTGGAATTGGTCCCGGATTCACGATCGAGGAAAATCTTTTCTCGATATCGCCGGAAGAAGCCTCTCATGCGGTTTATCAGACTCAAGGTCAAAACGCACCGGTCAACACAACTCCGGCCAAATTCCGGCGATCTCCGATCACTCCACCTCCTCCACAAACGGCGAATCACTCCCATTACTAATCGACGGGTCACAAGAAAGCCCGGAAAACCCCGCCGCCTGGGTGCACGATTATTCCGGCGAGTTAGGGCTCTACGCCGACCACCTTTTAAACACCGATCTCGACTCCGATCTCGCCTCCGAAGCCCGCTCCGGTGGCCGGAAACGCAACTCCGGCCACCAGAATCTCACTCAAAAGTACATGCCAAGAACATTCCGGGACCTCGTGGGACAAAATCTCGCAGTCCAAGCTTTATCAAACGCGATCGCGAGAAAAAAAGTCGGGTTGCTTTATGTGTTCTACGGGCCCCACGGCACCGGGAAAACATCGTGTGCGCGTATATTTGCACGTGCTTTGACTTGTCAATCTTTTGATCACCCAAAACCGTGTGGTTTTTGTAGTTCTTGTGTGGGACATGATATGGGTAAGGGTAAGAATAAGAACCGGAGTGTGATCGAAGTGGGACCCATGAATAATCTTGGGTATAAAAGTATGATGGAGTTGATTGAAAACACGATTGGTTCGAATTTGCGATCTCATTATCGGGTGTTTATAATTGATGATTGTGATTCTTTGATTCCGGATTTTTGGAGTGCGATATCTAAGGTTATTGATCGAGCTCCCAGGCGTGTGGTTTTTGTACTGGTTAATTCGAGTCTTGATGTTTTGCCACATATGATCGTTTCCAGGTGTCAGAAGTTTTTTTTCCCAAAATTGAAGGATGCGGATATTATTTATACGTTACAATGGATTGCTACTAAAGAAGAGTTTGAAATTGATAAAGATGCGTTAAAACTTATTGCCTCGAGGTCCGATGGGTCTTTGAGGGATGCTGAAATGACACTCGAGCAGCTTAGTTTGCTTGGCCAAAGAATTTCGGTTCCTCTTGTTCAAGAATTGGTAATTTTTTCTTAGGTCTGATTTTGATTATGAGGATGACGAGGGCGTTTACGTCTTTTGTGCAGACAACATATTTTACCTTTTTGGGTTAGGACAAAAAATTGCAGTTTTTGTCTTATTGACATGATTAATTCATTTGTGAAAGACGAAAGATAAGCTTTCTAGGGCTACTTTTGATGATGAGTACATTTTTGTCTTTCGCAATGACAAAAGATTTCCAACTTCTTATGTCGGACAAAAAATTGCAGTTTTTGTCTCATTAATAAAAATTGCAGTTTTTGTCTCATTAATAATATTAATGAGACAAAAACTACAATTTTTTGTCGCACATAAGAAGTTGAAATCTTTTCTTTCGCATTTGACTAGACCTGGGATGGGTCTAATCAAATGCGAAAGACAAGATTCCACCTTTTTGGGTGGGAGTGGACAAGTTTTTGTCTTTTTGCAGTTTTTATTTCATTGACATTATTCTCGTTCTAGTCTTAGTACAATGCATGCCAAATGCAGTACGAGTTATATCATGATGTTTTCCAATTGCTAAACAATTATATATGACACTTCACAGGTTGGACTTATATCTGATGACAAGTTAGTTGACCTATTGGATTTAGCATTGTCAGCAGACACAGTCAATACAGTCAAACATTTACGAGAAATTATGGAATCGGGTGTCGAGCCATTAGCTTTAATGTCACAACTTGCAACCGTAATAACCGATATTCTTGCCGGAAGTTACAATTTCATGAAAGAAAGGCCAAGATGGAAATTCTTTCGACGACGTGTAAGTCTTGTGGGTCCCAGGGTCAGGGTCAGGGGTTGCTGGAAGAATAACTATTTTGCAGATATAATAAAAGATTAAAAGCCACTCTATTTGGCCTCTTACATATGTACTATGTTTTTGCAGTATCAAAAGAAGATATGGAAAAGCTGCGATTAGCATTGAAGACGTTATCGGAAGCAGAAAAGCAACTCAGAATGTCGAATGACAAGTTGACTTGGTTGACCGCCGCGTTGTTGCAGCTTGCACCTGATCAGCAGTACGTGTTGCCGGAATCCTCCACGGGTACTAGCGGCCGCCACAGTCCGGTGGTGGTAAATAATGGCGGTGGAAGAGATGGATCCCGGAAAAGTAACTTTGACCATGGTGACATGATTGGAAGTCAAAGGGGGGTTTTGAAAAATGAGAGAAAAATGAGAGAAGATATATATATAGGCAAGAAATTGAAGAAATTTGGTTGGAGGTTCTTGAGTATATTCATATAAATAGCATTAAAGAATTCTTGTATCGTGAAGGAAAGATGAAATCACTTAGTCTTGGTGCAGGTATATATATGCTTTTTTAAGTCCAAAGAAATATCCATTTATAGTATCCTAGTTATACTTTTCAAAATCTACCTAATTATAGCATTCAAGATTGCTTTGTATTTGTATGACATTGTTAGATTTTTTCAAATTATACTCTAATTGGAAGTGTTTTTGTTATTACTTGATTCATTTTGCAGCTCCAACAGTTCAACTTATTTTCACTTCACACGCAACAAAATCAAAGGCAGAGAAATTCAAAACACACATTTTGAAAGCGTTTGAGCATGTTCTTGGATCACCTGTTACAATAGAAATCAGAAGTGAATCAAGAAAAGAAACCCAACTCATATTACCCACATCCCAACAAGACTCATATGCAAAACAAAGAAGTGAGATCATTGAAGTAGAGGCTTCTCCAAGAGAACAAAAATCCATGTTGCATATTGATAATGATCATAAAGTAGAGGCTACACCATCTCATAAGAATTCAAGTTTTCAAACAAGATTAGGAGAACAAAATCAATCCATGAGTCTTGTAAGAGGGAAAGTGTCTCTTGCAAATGTGATTCAACAGGCGGAATCACAGAGAAATGGTTGGTCCACACGTAAAGCTGTTTCCATTGCTGAAAAGCTTGAACAGGAGAATCTGTAAGCTTCCCGTTTCCTCTCTTGGAAATTCAAAAACATTTCACTGAGGCATTTCATCGAACACTTGTTATGCATTTTAACAAACACCAATTATCAAACTGTCTAAAACTGATTTGCTTCTACATTTCCAACGTGGTACATGGGATATACAAAATATTTAGTCTGTAACAACTATTTTACACATAAAAAAGCTGTAGTTTTGAAACACGGGAGATGAATCTTTCTTTAAAGTGACATGGTTTCTTCATATTCCAGGAGAATGGAGCCGAGATCAAGAAGCTTGTTGTGCTGGAAGGCATCTAGAGTTTCACGTCCGAAGGTAATGAGCCAAATTTTGTTAATACAGTTGAAGCTACCATCCTTGGAACTTACTATAGAAGTCTTGTATATATGCAGATTTCGCGATTGAAATTTAGAACAAGAAAACCACGGGCCTTGTTGAGATTTGTGTCTTGTGGGAGGTGTCTTTCAACTAAATCACCGAGGTAATACAAGAAATGCGTTCAAACGTGTGTCATTTTCTCAAATTTTAAGCATTAATTTATGGGTCAACTAGGGTTCACTAATAAGAGAGAGGCAAGTCCAAGAACAATGAAAAGGCAAATGTGCATTTCTTATATATTTTCTAGTTTTCGATGTTCTTTGTAGTTAAAAATGGCATTCTTTGATGAAATATTTAGGGTTATGTTATTTAATTGTACTATAGATTTAAGATTCAAGAAAGGTCAAAAGCCCAAATTTATGTTGTTTATTTTGTAATCAATGGGAAGAAGTATTTGAGTTTTACTTAAAAAGTGTATGGGTCGTGGGTTTTGGCGTTTGGGATGCGATCCAAATTCCGAATAAAGTGACGAAGACATGGGTTTTATTTGGTTGGTGTGAAAAGCTATTTTTATTTGATTATTTGGATTCTTTGATGGCGAAATATACAAGTGTCCATGTAGTTTTGTTGGCCCCTTGTACATTATAAAAATGCTAAATCTAATATGATTTGGCAACTAGCTAAAATATTTGCTTTTAGTTGAAAGAAATAGGTTTTGCTTGATAAGCTTTTAGGCCGTGGCGGAGCTACATGGGCGGTGCCGTGGGGTACTATTGCATCCTCAAAAAAATTATTTTATATATATAAAAAAATTATTTGTATATATATTTTATGTTATTGTATCCCTAGCTACAATTAAAAAGATTGTACCATATTTTTTTAGTGTTAACCACATAAAATATATCTTGATAATGTTTGTATTCCGTATCAAAATTTCTGTCTCCGCCATTGCTTTTAGCTAACCAGTAAGCTATACGATAAACTAATAATATTTGGTAAAAAGTAATGGAGTAAGCTATTCGATAAAATAATAATGTTTTGTATCGGATAAAAACTAAATGACAGATAAAATGACTATATAGATATATAAACATATACGAGTATATTTGAAAAGCTTATGGAAAATCCTTTGAATTCACCAATAATCTAATATTAAACATTTTTTTTTAAAGTTGACTTATAACCTATTTTAAAGGTTTTTATCAAATATTATATTACTAGTTTATAACCCATAGGAACCATGATTACAAAATTAATTAAATTTTCATAGTAAAATTTTATAATTATTAATCAATTATTTTAAAGAAATAAGTTTAAAAAAAGTATTAATTAAGAGATGTACCAGAATTTTAAAGTCAGTTATAATTTCAAATTTAACATATAATTATAAAAAGTAAATGTTTCTATAAAAAATTTAAAATCTATTATTTAAAACCTTAAAGTCATTAATTGTGATTGTGATTTACCTAATATATCTCCCTGACACGTGACACAATATTAATGAGGTGTTGTATTATAGTGACGCAAGACAAAAGGAGATTAAAATTATTCATTTATTAGTATAGTGATATTTTAATAAACTCAAAAAAATAAAATACCTTATGCATTATTCATATGTCAAAACACAACCTAAACTAAAATGATTAGTATGTTCTCACTTTTATCTCCACAAGCTTTAAGGTCCTTTAAAAAAAAAATACAAACTTAAAATCAAACCAAAACCAAAAAAAGTCAAATGAATACAAACAATTTTAAAATCAGAATCAAAATCAAAGGTAAACTCAAGCTAGAGAGATTTAAGCCAAAATAAACCATGGTGAAAAGATGACCAACTTAAGACTATGTTTTAGTTAATATTATAACTATAATCTTCCAACCACAAACCACTATACGATCATTGTTTAGGGTTTGTCTAACAAAAATCAAAACCATGATAACTATAAGAAACAAAAAATTAAGCCTAAATTCAAGATAATCAATTCAACTAAAAAATCCTATTGAAAACGAGGTATGTGTACTACCCAAACAAGACGGTAGGTTAGAGGTGTCTCAGGGGTGAGCCTGATGATATGCTTCAATTTTGAATTCAATATGGCTTGAAGTGACGAGTACGGAGGTGAATAGAGTGTAAAGGAAAAAATGAGCTCACTTGTGTGGGTGTTTACTTTGGTATGTATACAGGGGTATTGGAAAACATGCATAGAAATTAAGGCACCCAATTTATATTTGGGTTGGGTGCACTCGTGATAGGAAAACTCCATGAAAAACATTCACACCAAACTAGCTTCCTTCTACAATTTCACACACATATGTTATTGCTTAAGATCAAACACACTAACAAGAATGATATGGGTGCCTCACCAACTAGCCTAAGAACACCGGGAAGCCTTTGGAATTCACCCAAAGTTGATTAGCTCAAATGTTGGAACATTGAGATTGGGGTTTATTGATCTAGCCGGACCAAGGACCGTGTAGATTGCACTAGTTTATCCTTTAAAAGGGAGCATACCATACCACCCATTGGCTCCCTCACACCCATTCTTCTTTTTTGGTTAATCAGTGTTGCTTCCTCAAAGCTCTTATAAGTTATAAGGTTCCATACTTGGTCTTGAGACTGATTGTACCATACATGCACTACATGTTCTAATTATGCAAACTTGAGAATTAGTTCAAATGATTTTGGAAGTAACATAAGTTTGTTATGGTTATGGTTAATTATGCATGTAACGCCCATGTTTCTCGTTAGACATTAATAAGATGATGTAATAGTTAGGGTCAACAATTGTAACCTTCATATGGATTAAATAAAGGGGATTGTTGAGTATTATGTGTGTTTTGTGCAGTGTATATAATATACGTACTTATAGTGATATAATAAAAAAAATATAGGAATAAAATATGCGTCAAAATAGAATAATAATTAGGATGAATATCCTTGATGAAAGATGAAGTAATCGAGATGAGGATTCCAAAGATATAACGATGCTAAAATCCGACTTCGTATGAAGAAGTTATGCTTCTTCAAAGTTTCGCGATTAAACCGGCACGGCTCTGCGTATCGTAAAAACTAAAACTTTGATAAATTACTTTTTAGCCTTAGTGATCTAAACGAAAGTCGTAGTAGTCGTTAAACCGAGAGTGTGCGTGTAGAGAAAACGTCCAAATCTGACTTTGTAAGAGGAAGTTATGATTTTTCGAACGCATCAGTGCGGACATAAAAATCGAAATTCTAATCGGTTGATTGTTAGCCGAAACAATCTAAACGATAATTAAAGATCTCGTGAATATTAACCCGTCGATAAAAAGATCATCGAGAACACAGTCCACATGTAGGAGTTATACTTTCTGCAAAGATTTCTAATAGCCCAAGCCTATAAAAAATATAAATCTTTGATAGAGTGAGAATAAGTTGTTGAGGCCTAAAGGAAAGTTGTGGATCTCATCAAGAGCTTTCTGAGGATATAAAAAACGTCAAAAACGGAGCTCGTATGAAGAAGTTACGCCATTTTGAAAATATGGAAAATCGAAGGGGCAAAGTACGCGACGCGCGCTAATGACGTGGCACTACGAGAGAGCGCCATGTGGACATGTCGGGGCATCCCCTTTCTTCCGAGACATGCTGACATAGACCGAGGAGATTTTGACACTTGCCACCATAGGAAGGTGACACATGGCACCTTCTAGTAGAGGTGTATGTGAAGGAGCAACGTAGCGACACGTGGCAGAAGCCTATAGGAGCCAACACACCCATAGGGGTGCGACGTGCACCCATATGTGCGTGACGCTCTTTGTGTTTCTTGCCTATAAATACTCCATTCCGTATATGCTTCGCTCCCTACACCCCTACATACTTTTTCTCTCAAGTATTCCTTACTTTTAGGCCATTTTCCCTTAGTTTTTGTGTTCCGACGAAGCCTTGCAACCCCTGAGGTATTCAACCAAGTATTACCCATCAAGTAGGAGCCCTACGAGTGCGATTTCCGGACTCTGGCCAGGAGTAACCTCTGTAAGTTAAGCTACACTCTAGTTCTTTCAGTGTCACTTATATTTATAGCCATAAGTCATTATTATGAACCAATAAATAAGAACCATTAGTAATTCCAATTTATAATATTGATTGATCTACTGACGGGAGAGGTGACTAGAATGGTCACGTTGGCTTGGTTTTTGGATTTCAGAAAGGCTATACACCGAAATGGCCATGCCTCCCAATTATCCTGCCTGGTTGATCCTTATTTGATAGAACTTTCGGTATTTATGGGAATGATTGATAGGTCTAGGCTATCATTAGTAATGTTAGACTAAGACTTAGTGATAATGATACTAGGTCACGTTAAAGGAAAGGTCAAGTGCTAGTATTTGAGGTCATAAGGTAAGGATAATGAGAATGGGTAATTGGGTTGAATTGTTTGATGAAAAGAATATAATTAAAGAATTTAACTATTGTGGGTTGAAACCCTATGTGCTTACCAGACTTTCTGAAGTCTGACCCACTCAGTTTCCTTGTATCACATGTAGTGGTACGAAAGCACATGTGTGTTGAGATGATTATGATGAGAGGATAATGGAATGTAGGACAATATGTTAATGTAGTATTGTAAGGCATGTAATCTTTCGTTTATTCTTATGTATTGTATTGACGATGACGTCTCAATGTTTTTAATAAAAATAAAGTACATTTCTTTGGAAATGCTTTGATAATATTATTATCATGTTTTTGGGAACAAATTCTGCATTATAATTCTTTAAAAAGAATACTCCAACTTTTAATAAGCATAAATAAATTAGTCTTTTCTAGCCGTAAAATTGGGGATGTCACAGTTGGTATCAGAGCATTAGTTTAAGCGAACTAGGAATATTTGAGGATTTCTAGACTTAAACGTAGAATGCTAAGAGATGATTGTAAGATGAGTGTCTATGATAATTTAGGTAGTATGCCTGAAAGACCCATGCACTAGCTTATTTTAGAAATTATTTTAAGAATGATGCCTAAATTTCTTTTTTATGTGCAAAATGATTTATGATAAAACATGTTATAGAGGTAAGATGCCTTAAGATGCTTTAGGTTGCCTACATAGGATGCTATTCTTTGAATAAATCGATGGTCGGTTGCTGACCTAGATTTAGAAATTTTATGTGTTCATGATTCTAAACGTTTAAGTACGGTATTAGAACTGACATGTAATATTTCGGAGGAATAAGGAGGATTATGCATCTAAACCTTCCTTATCTATATTCTCGTCTCGGTACACTGAACGTCTACTTTGGTGTATAAATCGACATGGTGAGAACTCGAAGCAGTTTAGGAAACGGTAACGGTAATCAGCAGCCCGAGCCTCGTACAGTCGAGCATGCACCCGGGGCAATTCCTGCGCAAGAACCAATTACAATGGCAGGAGTCCAAGCAATGATTCAGGCTATGATGATCGAACAAAGGGAAGATATGAGACTGAGGTTGCGTGATGATAGTTATGAGCCCACTGCACCTGTTGTGCAACCTGAGTTGAACGAAGAACAGTCTGAGGAGGGAAACTACAATCGGACTGTTAGCCAAGCTGAGCCAAGAGTGGTTAGAAGGAAGAAACCAAATGGAGGAGATGATGGATGTGGATGCAAGTATAAGGATTTTATGGAA